ACGAAAAATTTCAAGCAATACCTCATCTGATAGAAAATTTCACAAACTACAAGATAGGCTACCTTAGAAGTTTTAGAATTCATTTTTGGCTGCTGAGTAGGCCTGGTTTCTTTCTCCACTAAAGAATCGATCAGGCTTTATGAGCGCATGAAGTTTTTTCACATCTTTTTTCAAGACTTGGATTTTTTTCTTCTAGTCAAAGACAATTTGAAGTGTTTTAGATTTCAAATTTTCAGATGACGGCCGCAATCGATTAGCCTCTCGTTCGCAGTTAAAGTCTTTTGAAACTCGTTCATCTAGTACTCCAAATGTTCATTGTTCTCGAGCAGCACAAAAGTTGGATTCATCTCTAACGAAGTACGTAGTGGAACTAGCTTTCGATTTGTGGTAGACAGTTTTCTTCTTTATTTATTGTTACTAGAGCCAGATCTCGAGAAGCAAATCATACATCGACACAATTATTTGAAATGAATCATCTGCAAGAAGAATTTAATAATGCTCACGTCTGTTCAGAGGGACGCCTGGAGCTTATTTGTGATGTTAAACAATCTTACGGTCTTACTACATTAGGATCAGATGTTAATTATTCATTATTGAACAGTTCATTAGCAAAAGATTCAAAACGTCTTGCTAAGGCTGAGTCTGTAGTAGCAAAACGAGAGACAGTAATTGAACGGAAAAAACAGGCTCGTTCAAAGTCACTGACAGCTGAACGTGATATTTCTGAATATGGAGCAGAAGCTCATTAGAGATATCAGTTTTATATACTTGCTTTTTTTGGGCGTTAACAGTAGTGGATTCACTAACTTGCTATGTTTTTTGGAAACAAAGACTATGTTGAGATTTTTAATGAAATAAAAACAGACTTAAAGGTAGCCCATCTTGTAGCTCGTGAAATTTTCTATCAGATGAGGTATTGCTTGAAAATTTTCGTTGAGTTCTTATTTTACAAATAGGACTTTAAGCTAGTAGAGTAGGCTAAATTAACGTTAATTAGTACTAATTAGTCAATAATCGGAAGAAAAGAACAAAAATGTTTACATATTTTCTCGTAGTAAATATTCTTCACACATTTCTCCATCGATCTAGGCAAGAACTAAGTTTTTATGATGAATGGAGAATGGACAGAAAATTTTACAATAATAACTCCGTGCTCAAAAATTTAACAACATTTTTTTAAGTAATTAATTTTTTTCTCAGTTAAATAATGTAAGTAAGCTGATAAAACTTCAGGACATATACTTCCAAGTATCCTCTACAAATTGGGAGGGCTTAAAGAAAAATTAAAACCTTGAAAATATCACTGCTTTTTGGCTCAGCGAAGATTTTTTACCCCACCTTACGGCTAGTTTCGCTCGAAGCA